AGAAAATTCATTCTCACTGGATATCAAATGCAAAATATTTAGTTCTTATAAACATTTCGTCAACCCATAAGCCTCTTTCATCGTCTGTTCGTGCTGCAATTACTTTGATAAATAACTTCGGCCGCGATCCTTACAGTTATGACGTGAAGTGACACGCTATACCAGTATATATCAAGGCATATTATTAGACTGGTGTTTCCGTTAGATTTACCCATGCCGGAAATTTCATCTGGCACTGGGGAAGCAATATACAATGGCGTCATTTTAGTGCATTTTATCAATTAACCGCGTTAAATGACGTCATTTTTGCATATATAAGAATGAAACTGCATGCTTATGAATGAAGTTTAAATTTCATACGCATTGTAAAAAGTAGTTACAGGTGTACTGACATAAATTTCCATGGAAAAAATTTTTGTTAAGGTAAATAAGGAATATGGTAGAATATGCAAGAAACAATATCTGACATAATTATGATTGCAGTTCGGATCGGAACATCCGTCCCACGGAAACACTCCTAGATATTATAATTCTAATACTTTCAGTTTCACAGGTATTGATTTAACGAGGCTATGAGCATGCGGGGAGCCATATTATTACGCCCGCTTATTAGCATATATTTACAGCTCAGTGGCCGTTATGGGAATGCCGTGGTTTTTCCCGATGATTATGTAAATTTATAAGTAAAAAACACCAATTAACTTATCATTTTCTTTTGCCCAAATATCTTTGGGCAATTTTTGTATTTCTTATTAACCTACCATAAATAGGAGTAGAAGCTTAATGCAGTATTCAACCTATCGTTTGTACAAGTAGACCAATACGACATTCTGATCATTCAATATATAAGAACAGTATTCTTTTTTACATTTTGATATAATGCTTTAATTGAACGGATATATTCCTGTAATTTTAAACAAGTAAAAAATACTGTTTAATACAAATTCTTTATTTTGGTAAAGTTGTTGTACTCTTTGCAATATCATTTGAGCTTAAACTTAGGACATCCTAAAGTTTAATGGTATTTTCAATGTGTAATTTTCAAAACAGTTCATTATCAATTTGCGGACATCAAGACGAAACTTTAAAGCTAGTTAGTCAACAATTAGTGTGTAACAAGCCTTGTCAAACTGCGTGAATATGCAGGCTTGTCTTGCTCTATACTAGTGACAAAGTCTAATCATTTCCGGTTCGAGTAGGGTAAGAATAAAATATGAAAATCCCTGTTTGTTTCCTTTTTTTATCATTTTTTTTTTGTTGGGTTTTTATTTTCAATATATACTAATCAATATCTAAGTGTATATTCTTAGTTTATATGAAATACTATATTTTACTTTTAACAAATTTCAGATTTTCTTTCTAACGAAAATATTTGAAAGGTGTATTGACTGATTTCTATCTGTTAAGTGTATTTGATTAATTTTTAGAATACACTACTTTAAGAAACTAAGCATTTTTGTTCTAATTAATTATTGATTAAACATAAATCGAGGTTCCCTGGAGTGGATAGAAAATAAACGTTACTTCCAAACGTGCAGGTACTTTTCTACAACAAAGCTACGTGGTATTTTGTACATCGCCTATAGCGACAACCATTGTTAAAAGTCTTAAGTAATTGAGGTAAAAGTAGAAATCCTTTAGAATTATTTTCCTTCATATATTGTTTAGAAAAAGAAAAGTCGTTATATTCGGGCCGCCACACTACGTTAATATTGTAACACATACTTGAATACTTTATTGAAAAGATTGTTCAGTTAGAATGCTTAAATTAACCATTAAAACTGTTTGCATTTAAGCAGAACTATTATTTTAAAGGATTGGTTCATATACGAGACCATTTTTGCTGTCGAGTAGTAATGCTTTGAAAAAAAAGATTTATTAATAATTCATTATTCGAGACAGTTGATCCATTGGAACAGAAGTACCAAATTTCCTGTAGTATAGATTATGTTATATTTTTTGAATAATTTTTCTCCAAAAATCATTAATATCTCGCATGTCATCTTTGTTGCCAACATTTTCTTTGGCAGGAAATATAGTGAGTGAACATTATAAACACAATCGTTTAAACAAATTTTAAGTCAATGGTAAATATTTTTCTGCAAATTCAAAGATAGAATTATATTTAGAACTGACGTAATAAAAAAGTATAATCTGTCGAAATGCAAAAACATATTCTGTCGGAATGCTTATAAGAATAATAGATGGGCAAGTTCGTATATAAAGATAATAATAAACTCGTATGTAAAGTTAATATTATGATTATTAAGTTATTCCTAAAATAAACCCATCATATCCAAATGTATTCCGATAATGCAATTTCAACCTTACGTACGTTATTTTTTCATCATTGATCAGAATGGGCCTCAAGTATCCGAATTAATATAATCCGATTAATCTCTTATCAAGCAATTTCTTTCATTTCCCCTCATTTTCCGGTACAGGTTCGCGTGAATGAATTAGTGTAACGGACGAAATAACGTTGGACTCTGTGGCATTTGATTTACAGATTTACAGGAAACTAGGCAATAAAAATTGAATAACATATTATAGGCTAGATTCAATGATTAAATAGTTCATTAAAAAATGGCAAATCAATGACAATCATATAAATTTTCGTATCATTTCATGTAACTATTTAAACGATAAAAACGGGATAGCGTAATTTCTAAATATCTGACCTTTCTAATATACGTCACATTTTCATAAAAAGGGTGAATATAGTAAGTTAGTCGACACATCTTTCCTTTATTTAAATAAAATGCTACAGTGTCAGTCAGAGCTTAAAAGTGTCTATTCATTAACTTCTCAATATTATGTTTATCAAATAGCATATTTCAATACGAATTTTTTTTAAACTGTGAATGTTTATTTTTAGATAAATCACACCTGTAAGTGGTAGTCTAAAGTCAAGTAACAATCATTCTGTAAAATCAGATCGAATTGAACCCAAAGAACGCAATACTTTGCGCATTTTTTTTCATTTTATTTTTGAAACGCGGGTTAATATATTATTTCACACAGCACTATGACTATCAACTGAAAGATACTGTCATACTAATGTCAACCAGTAAAGCAGGTCAATATATCAACCATTCACTTATTTTCTAGTCTTTTTAATTAGTCATTAGACGATTAGAACATTTTAGATAATTGTTATTTACTAGTCATAATATGTTCTGTTCTTTATTTATCCAAAACAAACCAAAAAACAAACAAACAAAAACAAAGCAACTAAATCCAGCCTTTTGAATACTATATTATCACTTACATGGGTGATGAAGTTTTACAAAGACATGACATTCACTGACAACGAAATGTGATAACCTAATTAGAATTATTGTAAAATTAAGAAAGCAAATAACAATTAAAGAATAAATTTGTTTAAATAATTTTATTACTTATACGAAAGTACATATTTATATTGAGGAAGTCGTCTACATGTATTTAGTAAAATGATCTATACTTCGAGCTATCCTTTTCAACTTATCTGACAGTGTGGGTGTTTGTTGTTGTTTTTTTTGTTATTAATTTTACTAAAACAAAATGTAAGACTTTTGCTGACGATAAATTGATTTATCGGACATTTTTTACGCGCTTCATACTTTTTTTAGTCACTTTCATTAAATTAGGTAATATAGGGACTGAAAGCAACGGTTGAAAGTCTGGGACTGAGTATGCGCGAAACACTAACCGTTGATGTAAAAACCTTTTTGGTTTTTTTTTATAACATTTTTAAACCTTTTGAAATTTTTTAAACACTTAAAATTACAGTTCCATCGTCGGATACCAAGACCGAACCTCTTTCAGTAGCTAATTAAACAACCGTGGACGACGATGCACTTGCCCCTGTACTTTGTCTTAGTGATGTACATTTTCGATTCATCGGGTTGGGATTATGGTTTCTACAAAATCACTATTAGAGTATTCCTTAAATGTCATAATCATTATGATAATTATTTATTATTATTATTATTTATTATTATTATTGTTATTATCAATTATTATTATTATTATTATTATTTTTATATAATATTAAAATAATTATTATTATTATCAATAATTATTATCATTTTCATCATCATTATAATCATCATCATCATCTCCACCATCATCAATTTTATCATCATCATCATCATCAATTTTATTATTATTTTTATTAATTATTATTTTATTATTATTATTATTATTATTATTATTATTATTATTATTATTATCATTATATCGTCATTATTATTATTATACATTAATTATCGTATTATTATTATTATTATTAATTATCATTATTATTATTATTCATTATTGTTCTAAATGCTGTATAATTGAAAATGATTTCGCAGGCAAACAATTCATTATTTTTCTTTAGAAAAAAAAAAGATTCGATTGAAAAAAATAGTGACCAATTAACATTAAATTATGTTTTCTTTTCTTTTATAAAGCCAATATTGCCAAATAAAAAACACAAATACATCCTTTTTAAAAACTGCAAAAGAATATAAAAAAAATATGTCTTTAAAAAAATCCCCAAAAAAATTAACAAATTAAAAAAAAATCTTAAGGAAAAAAATCATCTTTAGGGTTTAAGAAATATCTATTTGTTCCCAACCAGAGTGGCACTAATCACGTTTTACGGTAAATCATCATTGTATTTATTCCACCCTAATTCTAAATGAATGATTGCTACTTCTGCATATTATAAATATGAACAAACATGATACCCGCCGTAAACTTTAATAGCGTTTGTAACGTTTTCCTAACATCAATAGAAAATATTACATTTCTTTGAACGCTTCTCTGTTAGTAAAGAATGTTTCTTACGTCGCTTAACATATATGGCGTAAACCAGCGCCAGTCTATCAGTAACTCTTGGTACCTTATTCTCTAATGAATATATGGTAGCTGAAACCTTGCGAAATTAGTTTCCGATTCGTTTCTATGTATAATTAGAGCTATCTATCCCACGTGTGAGAAATATACACGTCAGAGACAGCTCATCTTCAAACATATCACTTGCTTATTTTAATCAACGGGCGTGTATTTAATGGCCGTTGATGCTAATTAATTTCACTTGCCGATCGACGACACCAGGGTATACATCACCTAAATTACAAGTGAAGTATCACAGAGAACGGGACTTCATTGGTTCCAGACGCTTTATAAACATGTAAACGTTTGATGGACTTTGATCAATCGGAATAGTTATTGCAGTGTAATTTTTGAAACGTTACATAATAAGTTAGGCACAGGCGTCAACCTGATAAGTTCACTTTTCATTTAAAAAACATTAAAGAATTTCAACTTGGAAAAAATTTACAAGGACTTATTTAATTTTCAAGCAATTTTACAATTAAGGTAATTTTCAAATAAGGAGCTTGTGGGGCTTCACTTTCGAAATAAGGCGAAAAACCGAAGAAGACAAGACGTTATATGATTTCAAATTAATACGCCGATCCTTCAAATTACACATTTATTCGGTAATATTCCATAGAATAAACAGAAATAAAAATGAAAATCCAAGTGTTCGGATGCACATTTTGTTTAGTGATAGTTATAAATTGTATGCTTTACGAGGCAAGGACTTTGTATACGGTAAACCCATATGATTATACTCTGTCAAAAAGGGGTAACGTAGAGCGGCGGGGATTCCTTAAGAGTTTTTGTGTCCGTAGATGCCAAGTCGGTAGAGGAGGCAACCTGTGTCGATGTAATGGTTTTCATTTCGCAGGGAAACGAAACGGAATTATGCCAGCATATGCGGAAAATCAAAGACGAATTGTTGAAGATGACCCTGAACAAATCGTATATAAAATTTTGGAGGAGAATGACAAAATTTCACTAGATCCAGATAAATATAGTGTAAAAACCGGTATGATCCCTCAACAAGAGATATTGAGAGAAATAGAAGAAATATTTCCAGAAGTGATGACCGCCGAATTAGGCAAAAGGTAATAATGATATGACTTTAATAACGATTTATATATTGATTATGTGTTCATACTCAAATTGTAATTATTCGTTTCATACTCATTTTGAATTAACGATATTAAGTTTTAAGCTTTTTCATTCGTTCAGATGTTACGCTCTTATGCTGAAAAATACAAATGTAAAAGTGATACTTGTAGTTCTTTCAATAAGAATTAAATGTATTTAATGATATAAAATAGATATTTTGATAAATATTTACAAAAAGATTGGGGGCACAATATGTTCTTAAACCAAAAAAATGCAAATTTCCTATTAGTAAACTTTTCTCATTTCTAACAATGATATAATGTTGTGCTGAGAAACTTAACTAATATTTAAGATTAGAAAATTTGTCAGTAAATGTAATTATTAAAAGATGGCAACTAAATTATTTTAAAATAACCGTTATCTGAAAACTTTAGAAAATAAATAATGTTCTATTAAGAAAATGTTTGCCTTTTGAGCTTATGACAACTGGCATTTTAACTGATATTTTATTGTTTTAAAAGTGCTGGGAATATTGAATGGCTTCCTAAGTGTTTCTGTCATTGCTTACAATGTAGACCTGTCAAAACTTATTGTATGCTTCCATTTTACTGAATCATTCAATGGTTGTTGACTTTTACATTGTCTTTAACATTATACGATGAATCATATGACATGTTTTAGAGAATTTGCAATTCCGTATGCATTCAAGTTTGGTGTTCCATCGTGCAATTTTATTGTCAACGAAGTAAGGATAATCTATTGTATTGATTTTATAATCTCATTCTGATATAAAATTAACACCAACACGGGTATTCCACGTTTTAATACCATACAAAATAGAAAATCGGAAGCGGAACTTGCCATTCCAACAAAAATCTACGATAAGGAGACTTTAGGAGTATATGATTTTTTTTTTCTATTGGAGTATAGGTTTCAGGCTTCTTGATGTTTTTTTAAAAAACGAGGGGTAACATAAATATACATACATATATCACTTAACACTAACAGCAAGTTATAAAATTAAAAATATCGATTACCACTATTTGAGCCGCGTCACGACAAAACCAACATAATGGCTTTGCGACCAGCATGGATCCAGACCAGCCTGCGCATCCGCGCAGTCTGATCAGGATCCATGCTGTTCGCTTACAAACCCTATTACAAGCAGAGAAACTGATAGCGACCAGCATGGATCCTGATCAGACTGCGCGGATGCGCAGGCTGGTCGGGATCCATGCTGGTCGCAAACCCATTATGTTGGTTTTGTCATGGCGCGGCTCATTTTAATATTTTTAAAAAGTCTAATGCTTCTATCTAGGAAATAATAATTAATATTGTTAATTTAGTCTAAAACTTAAAATTGAGAGGTTTAAATGATTAGCGTAATGATATACAGAAAAATATATTTATTATTCCTTCACTCTCAGTCAAGTTCCATGAACATTTTATAAATTATAAAAATTATGTTATCTTCATGTATAAAGACTAACCCTGGTAAGCAAATATTGTCTTATATACCTCAGAGCCTTTAAGACAGTAGGTTAATTAATGTGTTATTATCTGGCAGTAAAATGTGGCCAATATACTATGCATATTAAATAATTCATGTTGGCAATGGACTCAAAATTGTTAACAGTATAACACAACAACAAAGACCGGTTAGTGGCAACAGCCTTGTGTAGCATTAAAAGAAAAGATACCATGATTCAAAGCAGAATCTTTGTATATTTTGCCTAGCACGCAAGCAGAGTTTCATAGCATATTTTTCACGAGTGTTTTTGAATTTTGAGGTCGTACAAAGGACGCAAGTGAAATTATGAATTTCTTTAACAACAAGTTTGACGGATATGTTGCTTTGTATCATCTAACGTTATTGTCTAACACTATTATCTAACATTTTCCTGTAACAGTAACTTCTAACAATTCAGAACAATTTCACACAATGTTGTGATATTACCAAAGCTTTATTCAATTTTCAAAGAATAAGGACTTGGCTTAGATACAATATAAATTGGAATACCTTAAAATTATGAGAGTTATCGGGTGAAAACTTGTTGACTTATTTCTCTTTGATTCTGTTCACGATGATTTGTTGTGAAATTATGGTTCAATATATAAGTTGCAGACGAAACCAGACACATGTTGAATAGATAAAACATTTCAAAATACATGATTTGTAAAACAACGGTTAAGAGCTTAATCCTTGCACGAAAGGGCTAAACATATCAAAATATCAAATGAATTACATTTTGAACAATAGATAGAAAATTATAGCTTAATTTCTCCCTTTTCTCCCTTAAAAAATAATGATTTGATTATCCGGTAATGTTAACGCAGTAGATATACGTAATGATAAAAGTAGCATTGTCGCTTAGTATTAAGGTAGAACGGATATATTTGCATTGTTCAATGATGACAATCTTTTGTCTAATTTCCTTCTATTTTCTATTTGGACAAAATCCCTTGTGATTTCACTTACAATGTAAACTCATTAATGGGTAACGACTGTGTTTATTTCAAATGTAAATAGAATATAAAGAAATCTTGTTGACAAAGGACTTAATCCACACAGATATTTTAGTAACGTCAGTCTACACAAAAATAATGTTTAGAAAAAGTGAAAAAAGATAGAACAATTATTCACAAAGATAGAGTAATTACAAAGACAATTATTTTTATAGTCTCTTATGAGAATTGACGCATATTGGAATCGTCCTAGCTTTTACCTTTGCTGTTATTAAGGACATATTTAAACATTAATATTATATCAACCATTCCTTAAATACACGCCAACGCTTTCTGCTAATCCTATATAGCGTCCAATGCCACTACCTATAATATTATGAATTAAACAGACATTAACCCCTACCAAGCTAAAATCTTTAAAAAATCTTGCCAATCTTTTAATCTGGATCAAATCATTCATCATTTATGGGGAATATGTTAAAATAATTTCTGACCGAATGGCGAACAGTGTAGACCATGATCAGACGGCACGGACCTTGCTCTGCACTGGTCCCTTGGGTATTTTCAGTTTCCGCTGCCAGGGTAAAGGTAAAATAATGTGTCCTAGCAAATGGCTAGGTATTGTATATTAGTTATGTAAGAAAATTTTCTAGCAAACAACTGAATAAACATCGTCAAAGAAGATTTAAGTTTTACCCATTGTCCCGATAGCCATTGAAATATCTCTTGATTTATAAATCAAGAGATATTTACCAGGGTTAGTTATATCTGTTTCAATAGAAAGTTTAAAAAAAAAAATTTTCTAAATAAGATATATGTTGGTAGTCAGAACACATTTACTTTTGTCAATGATACTAAATGATGACTTTCAAAATGTTTTGTCTTAAATTATTTCAGTAAATCTCAATGAATCTCGTATCAGCTGATAGCAATAAATAATAATTTATGCGTATTTACAATAAATTTATTGAAGACCCATATCATTTTTGTAAGGGTTTTACGTCGCATCAACACATTCAAGGTGATCTGGCGACATTCCAACTTTACTGGTGAAGAAAGTCCTTAGGGCCCCTCCATACATTATTTAAGGCACAAACGGGCACCTAAGTAGAACCACCGCAGTTCCGTTACTGGCTGGATACCTTCCTTACATGAAAAAAAAAAAACAAACCCCAAAGTCCCTGTCGGGTTCGAAAACACAGCGCTGAGGGGCAAGTTGGTTAAAGACAACATTCTTAGTCAACATACCTTAACTACGTGGCTACGGACGCACCAAAGACTCATATCAAAATTCACCTTTAGATACCGCATGATCATGTTAGATAATGGTGGAATTGTACTTGCATACCTACAATGAAATGCTAAAGACATTGTATTATTTTAAAATTCCATTTAATGTTTTAAATTCAAGAGATCCTATTCAGAAAGTTGTTTTTTTTACTTTTAGAAAACAAAAAGTAAATACATGTCTAGGCTTAATAAAAACACTTTTCAAGGGCGGTTAAGTCACTTGATTATTTCATAAGTTTAATTTATTTTGGTTCGGGTTCCGAGTCTGTAAAGGTATAGAAAAATAACTGGTGCCTCTCTGTTCATACATTTTATCAGATAAAGGCGGGCACCCAAGTTAAAACATCAACCTTTCATAAAATCCAAAGATAACCTTCCCTTTTATTATCTTACTGCTTTTGCTGGATTCGAACCACAGCGGTTATGCGTAAAATGTTTGAACTTAATAACATATTCAGACAGGACAGTCCTAATTTATTTTGTTTATAACTACACGCTGGTGATGTTTCGGCTTTTTAACGACTTAATCTTACATAATGTCATGTGTTTAATAGTAAAATAAAATGTTGATTAAACTTGTACCTTGGTATCGACTTTGATAACATGTTTTTAGTAAAATCGAGTACAATACGTCCACAATGTATTGTTCAAATTTCTATCAGACAGAATAATCAGTAAAAAAAAACCCTTAAGTTTATCTATCTAGTCGTAGTTTGTTTTCAATAAATTTACAAAAGGATATTAATAAAATTATGATTTATTCAAATGATATTGCAATTAATATGTTATTGTTTCATTTATTTTGTTATATATATTTATTAATATTTTGGTTTCAAACCTTTTCCGCTGTGTAAACCATCATTTCAATTATCAATATCTTTATATATTTTAAGATGCATTTTCATCCATCAACTGCTCGCCATGTTGTGTTAAGATAAAATATTTTAATATAACACATTTTGAAATATGTCATTAATTTCTTCACATTATTCTTTGACTCATTTGAAGTAACTTGATCAAATTCAACCACTGTATGAAATGATATGACACAAGCTTTGTTAATTTAACGATCAATTTAAAAAATTACCTAAAATTTTAATTTCTGGGAAAACGTTCTATTTTTTATATAAAAAACACCAGAAAAGAATTTTAATTAATTTGTTTTTAAAAATGAGCATTTTTTACATACATCCCCGCAAAGAATAACGCAATTTCTAAGTACTTTGATAATGTCTTAACTAATGTTATAAATATTGTGATGCTAATAAGATAAATTAGTAAGCAAATCTAGAAAAAGGAGATAATCCCGCGAGACCAATAAAAAGAATTTATTTTCAACAAGTCCATTCATTAGACTTAATAGAGATCGCAACATTTTCAAAGTCCCAGAACACCGTTTATGTGATATCTATTAATTGCTTGAGAACTACAACTTTGCTTTTTATTTCATTTATATTAGCTAATTTTATTGAAATATTGCACTTTTCTTCATACATAAAGATTTGGAGTTAACATATTTTCTTTCTTTCTGTTTTTCAAATAAAATTATTTTTATCAACATATCTGTTTAATACTTTCTGAGGAAACGTTTCGCTTAAACTCTTTCAGACAGATGAAGCTTTTTTTGAAATTAGCTTGAATAGAAAAAATACTTGTTAAATGGTACTAATTATGCACTTTTTTCTCTTAATTGGTAAGTTTAATATAAAACAAGAATTTGAAGGAAGTGTTTGTAATAAAAGACATTCTGTATGCTTCATCTAAATTTAATTTAGTACATAAATAGTACTGGTAATGCCTATCAAGATGATCAGATTATGCGGTAAATGCTTTGACACATTGAGACCAAATAATCGAAGCCAAAACAAATTAGTTAAAACAGATTAAAACAGATAACATTTATTTATAACAAAACGCCCGCAATCCGTCGTGGCTGTTACCATTATTACCGTAATACTATATTGAACTTGGTGCAAATCTCTGTTCAAGCACTGTTTTTTAATTTGCTAATTGGTTTTTGTTTCAAGAACATAATACGTGGTTAGAAAGATATGATATTACATAAATGGCGCACGTTTTGTCTCATCCTGTGTTAGTTTTAACTGTATCCGGTTAAGTGTAGGTGTTAAGCAAATATGATCTAAAATTTGAGCAATCCTCCACCGTTTTCCAAGACAGGGATAACATTTTTTCGGGTAACGACAAGTATCACCTTTCTAGTTACAGAAATAAATCGATTTGTAATTTATCTTTGTACATGTCTATACATCTTGTCCAAAAGCAAAGAAACGTTTTGTAAATTCTGCTTCAGTCATTTGATTTGCACAATGTATGTTCTGCCAGTAGGTATAAATGATCGAAATATCAAGTTTATTTCTTATTTCCTGTTAAAAAATGACAAGAGATATATATAAAACAACTAATGAACACCACATTTTCCAAATGTTGTTGTCCTAATTGAATTATTGCTCATGTTTGAAATTTATTGTCCAAATAATGATGTTAATTGCTTAGAATATCTGTGTGTAAAGTTTTAAAATACAGTGACGGACGCAGATTTAGAAATAAATCAACTGATGTAGGTAGCTTAATACGAAAATTTCTTTTCATAAGTTGTAATTTGTTCTATCCAAATACAGCAATTTGCTTAAGATGTAATTAGCTTTGTACTAATTATAGGCCATAAATAAAAGAAACCACATTTGTACGTAGTTTTATCAATCAAAGTCTGAAGATTTATAACTGATTATTTACCCAGCAATTTACCCCTTCAGATAATATTTTTATTCAATGAACGTTTGTAGTTTTCTTTCGAACTGGCCAAAGAATAATTATGGTATGGACATGAATGGCCTGGGAAGTGTGATAATTACGGGTATTAAGAATTACAGCAGTTACAATCTGTAAAAACAAAACGTTCAATCATTTTAGCTGATACACTATCACTTTGACTATTATGCCGTTTGCCTTTTCTGATTTTGTAAAACTATAATGTTTTGGACGTAATAAAGAGCAAACAAGTCACTTCAGGGAGGGAATAACGACCAACAATTTTCCATATGATTTTATTGATATACGTAATGCATGTCTCGGCTAATTTCCATCAATGATTAGAAATCTGAGTGCCTCGTTCTGTGTCATTGTTTGATGGGAATCAAACACCATACGGGAAGAGTTATTCCGATCCAAATGGGTTAATGGTTTTATAACATAACGGTATACCTGAATTATTTCAAATAAGAGTATGTACAAACGCACCCGCATAATCCTCAATTCGTGTAAAGTCGTTTACCTGTTTGTCAATATAACTATATTAAGTGTGTCTTTTATAAACAAACAGATAAATACGAAACAAACTTAATTAGTGGAGTATGATATCGATTGATTCTAAATACTAAACGCAATTACATTAAAATAGATACGCTATTAATATTTCTAAGAGTGAGTGAGTAAGTGACTTGGTGACTGGGTGACTGACGTAGTAACTGACTGATTTAAGCGTGTCCCACAAAGATTCAAACGGCAATGTTTACTGGCAACAGTAAGCGCAATGCTTCGCTTCACTTACATAATCAAAAGGAAGCTATATTGATATGATACTCCCAACAGTCACATCATTTTTTCCTACAATTATCTAATTAAATGCTTATTACTCAGCAATGATGTTGCTTGCTTCTTTGAGTTTGTTTGTTTGTTGTTTTTTTTTTTCAAATGACTCACTCAAGCATTATGACTTCAAAGATAAAAAAGTTTCATGATATATTTTTAACAATGAATATGAGTTTGATTTCAAAAGTTGTTTTGACTATTTAGTTGCTCTATACATAATAATGTAAGGTTCCATCAAAGAAATTAACCACAGATTATTATTTGACCCTGATATAACATTTTTAATGCTCTTTATGTTAAAAATTAAATCAACAATTAAAAGTAATCGGTCATAAAATCGGAATATTAGATTGAATGGACACTTGCAATTGATTAAACAATATCTCGTTTTCTAAAAACATTTTCAGCATATATTTTTAGTCATATCACAAATATCACAAAGGTTTTGTAACAATAACTTACATATAGTCATTTCATTAAAACTTGTTAAAAATAATACATCAATTCGATTGTTTTAATTTGTCTTCTCAGTATGCTTTGTTTTTCTTTGTTTTTGTCAAGTCAATTTATATAAAACCCACGCTGTATTCTTCAACAGTTCGTAAGCAGCAGAAAATTGTATAAAGTCTATACAAAAATGATACTTAACAAAAATTAAAAACTAAACGTTTTTAATCCTAGCTTATCCAATCTCTCTAACAAGATTCTATTACTAAATTATTTATTATGGTGTGTTTTTTATGATGATCAAGAATAGATGAAAAAGAAGAAGAAGAAGAGAGATCATTGATGAATGAGATGGTGGTGGTGCTGGTGATGATGATGATGATGTAGTAGTAATTTATATTAACACGATATGAATTGCTATTTAGAGTGACTATTTTATCTTTTTCAGACCACCAAGAAACGACGACATTGGGGAGATTATTGAAGATTATCTTCGAACAGACGAAATGTAAAATAATCACTAACAGGATTATTTCTCGCTTTAAAAAAAACGTATTAGAAATACCTAACATCAGACGTGAAATATATGATTATTAAGTGAACAATGATACATTTTCTCTCTACCTAAATTCTGATTGGATCCAATTATCCACAAGATTAAAGAGAAACATACCGACAGTAAAAAAAACTGAGAAGAAACAATTTATTTCGCAATTTAAATTTTAAGACATTCAAAGTTTGCTATAAAAAGCGGACTATTTGTTATTAAAATTTGAGACATTGTTTTCAAAATTTTATAAATATATGGTTCTAACTCTTTGGCGGCTTTCTCGATCACACTTTTCTAAATATATTTCATGCCAAATATTAATGAAACAATAAGAAAGGAAATGAGTACCCGACATGATGAACATAATAAATGTTCTTTCTCAATTTGAAAAGGTAATTCACGAAGAATATATGCATTTAATGTAATGCTGCAACAAATGTGTATTCACTATGGTTGAAAAATTGAAAGAAAATGGAAAATTCTTTCAGGGCTGAAAGTGACAAATTTAAACCTATTTTTTTGTGGTATTTTGTTAAGTTATTAAGACTCATATTTATTTATCATAAATAAAAGAAAATTTAAAAGTCATAACAAACATTATTCTAACAAGTAAATTTTCAAATATATATCTGAATGTTTTTGTTATTATTCGTTACCTCTAGCATTATTACAACAACAACAGCAAATACTTTAATTTTTGAGTCACGTTACATAGAACAGTATGAATACTATGATATAAAATGTGAGGATTTTTTTTTGGGGGGGGGGGGGATGGGTCATCAAAATATCAAAATCAAGCATCGTCACATATCGTTAAACAACATGGGGACAACTATTCATATTCAGCTATACATATAATAGTGTTTCTTACTGGGGGAAAAGACGTGTTTTATTTTCTAAAACACAACCCTTGTTCCGCTACTGTAATAAAAGTTTAAACAATATTTTCATCAAAAGGACAATGCCAATTATTGTTTTAATCATTCAAAACCTTTCTATTACAAAATAAAACTTTAGGAGAAAAAAATAAAAAAATATATAACTTCAAATTTGAGATGCCCCTCCTTCGCATTTACAATACTTGTTAGCAGAAAGAGATAAGGCAAATGCTTTCTCGCTAAATCTATAGTTTTATAATTTAATTTGACGATTTATTGAAGCTTTATGGAAGACTGGATTTACAATTAAATCAAATATTCCATGCAAGGTTTCAACGCATTAAAACCAAGTCGATTAATGTTAAAGTAATTTTCTGTAAACAAAACCCTGGTGAAAAATAATTAAAAAGAAGACAAAATACCACAAAAAGACATTAATATTGATACAGAAATGAAAGGAAATAGCGTCTTTTATTTGTAATAAACAAAATGCTACATTGTCATTCTCTAACATTCATTTTAAAACGTATCGTTTCTTATCATTGTGGGAACACATAATAACAAATGAATTAAAACACGTATATTTTGCTTTTTGAAATACCCACGTGTTCATTTTGTAGAAACTTAGAAATATTTCGGGATTGCTCTTATTTGTCATTTATTTATTTTTTTATTTATTAATTTACTATTTATATTTTTTTTAAAATGAAAGCCGCTTTAATTTATTGAAATATAAACTACTTTCATATTTCAAACAATGAATAAATTTTACGTTTTTTTAAAAAAACACGTCTCCAGATGGCAAACTGAGACAGATATTAGTCTTGTAATGTCAAATGTGTTCCCTTAATTAAGCCAAAAGTTGACAAAGTCGTCATTAAAACGTGCATTTGTATCATAATCTAACGCACTAACGCAGTTACCGGTATTAGTAGGAAGGATATTTAATTCACGTGTAAATATCTGGTACGCATGGAATGCAATGAATGGCAATAATTAAAATACATTTATTGTCCCACATAAAAAGAACAAATATAAGTTTATGTGTTTGCCAATATATTTGATACATTTGTACCATCCTATATCCCGTGCGTCTCCGATCACTGATGCCAATGTCCTCTACAATCACGCGGGACTAAAATAACACCGATGAAAAAATCCGTCCTTTGATAAGGTATGGTATATCCAGACTCCGGCAAAAAGCGGACTGTCTGTCTTCGAAGCTGAAATGTCAACTTACGAACGTAACGTATTAAAGCGATGTTGTTATTAATTATAACCACTTTATGTTTATGAGAAATTAGTACAATAGTAGATTTTCTGTTATTCTCTGGAAGTATGCTGTTTTAACCTTTAACTGCATGGGCATGGGTGAAAAATGGCTGTTTTCATTGAAAAGCCTCCAGTTACAAGTTCAAACTGCTATGAAATTATAAAAAAATGCTCCAGTACTGATCAAACTTGGCACAAACGTTGACAGGATCATAGCCTTTGTAACAGCATGTTCAATCCTAAATTTCTGGTACCATGGCAACGTAGGGACATCTCAAAACTGGCACCCCCTGAATGTATCTATTTTACAGGGGCGGCGCCATAAAAGTAATTACTTTTTTAAACAATTTTTCAAAACAAAAAGTGTTTTGGGCGAAAATTGGGCATTTTTTCACTACTTGAGGCCTGAAAGGGAGGGTGGAAAACCGCCAAAACACACAAAATCTGCCAAATCTAAAAATACTGACGGCATTTCATCTTGAACCATGTTACAGATATTTATGAACCTGTACATGAATGATCTTTCGTGATCGGTGTTTTACTCAGGTGCCCAGTCGTGCCAGAAAAACTGGAAAAACGACATCTGATCTTTTCAGTATTGGTGGGACTAAATAAACCGACAAAAATGCCAAAAATGCTTTGCTCTATTGAATAAAATTGCTACCAGAGCTAAAATAGAAATAGGCTCTAAAGGACATTTGCTCCTCAACTGATGGGTATATATGGTTACAAGTCTACAGGAATGACCATTATATACTTAACAAAAAATACATAAATTATATTCATTTAATTTTTTTGCAACACTACGCAATCTAAGTTTTATGGGAAAAAAAGCTATAACAAAACACATTGTTATCATTTCTTTAAGCCAGTTTTTTAAAATATTTTAAACAAATAATTAAAAAATCACTTGTTTTCTCATATGTCAGAAATTGAGTCTGAATATGTAGTCATTTGTCTATCATCGCTGATTCGGAAATCATTGGCATTTGTGGTCGGTCACTTATGGGAAAATTGGTAATTACTGCCTAATTACATAGAATAACTAGTTGGGCGGATCGACTGCCGACATATCACCGAAACGTGTTAAAATCGGCCTAAAACCCAGAACAAAAAACGAATTCATATCAATGAAAACATATTTACATTCCTAATAAAAATAAAAAAGTAAAACTAAAAAATCCATTTCAGATTTGTAAGGTCCACTTTCCACAGAAAAATAGTATTGCAACAAATGATTCAAATATAAAGTTAGGGACAGACTATTTGAAGAAAATTATAATGTACTGTTATGCTGCAGTAAATTTATTAATGGAATTAACTCGATTATGGATAACAATTGACACCGTTACTGTACAATATCTGCAGATTTGACATGACCTTTTTCTGACCTACTAAAATATTCTACCGAATAGTATTTTAAGCAAGGGTAAAGACCATTTTCTAGACTCAGCTACAGTGAGTGTTTTTGAATGACATATTACAAAACAGCAAAATTATCGAGGGGACATGCCATTCATTAAGATAGAGAGAAATAAAGAATCCCTCAAGAACTTCCTAAACGGAAACAGGAAAATTTGGTAGTCTTGGTTTGAATAAGTTTTTTAAAAGCCGACAAAAACTCTACAAAACAATGCCCGTAATAACTTTGGCTCGACAGGGTTCTGCTTAAGCTAAGAGATACATTGATACTGCTTATTTGAACCTATTTAGTCGACTTCCGTACTTTATTTCAGTGTACTTTTTTGTATATTTTCTGGTCCTTCGTTATCTTTGATTCCAACACATTTAAGTGTTGAAAATTGAGCACCACTTAAGTGGTGCTAGGCAGCGTGAGGGATGTTGCACTTTTTCATATCCCTCATTTAAACTGAGCCTGCAAATTTTATTTGATTTTGCTGATTTTGATGCTTCCGAGGTATCATTTTTTTCCAGATATTTATACGAGCACGCCGGGATAAAAGGTGACTTAGTTCTGAAGCCTGAGCTACAAGGGGAATTCAAAATGTCATGTACTTTCGAAATAGAAATACATAGATTATGTTTTGCTGAGTTTACTAATATTTATGAAAATAAAGTTGAAAAAAACAATGCATGAATAATAGCACATCTTTGACATACTCCTAACTAGAAATAAAAATGGTTGTGTTTAGTACAAGTAGAATTCAAAGTAATCAATTCTTTTTAGTTTTACTATATCTAATATGTACTTAATTAACCAATAGCATCAAAGGTCATGTGTAAATGATTTGACATTTTCTAATTGTGTTTGTTAAGTCAATGTTTTGCTACTGTATAAAATTTATATTCAAGTTATAAGAGTAATTTGTTTCGCAATTTGGTTTGTGGTTAGTCTTTCATCTGTTTCAATATTGGGTAGACAATTTAAGAAAAAGTCTCGTGTGCAACGTACGACGAAAATAAAACATTTAACTGATTACATTTTGTTTTCTCTCTCTCTCTCTAAACACGTATACTTTCTTCAACGAAAACTATAATTTCAATGGTTATCTTATTACTTCATTGGTTTGTTTCGTTTTACGGCACACCTAAAATGTAAACTAAAGCTCAATTGACTGGAAAGATGAGATTGGCTAACTTCGGGTGTTATAAACACGGGTCAAAACCACTTCAACTGCTGGGTGCAGCTAAGAGATACATAGACTCCAGTAATTCGAATGTATTTAGTCGACACTTACGACCACGCAGGGATCAACGTTGGCCTCTTATTACAATATGTTATGTACATTGTATATGTAATGTACTTAAAGGCCCATTATGCCTCTGAAACAGTATTTTGTCCTTCTTAAGAAGGGCAATCATGGTTTTATATATCTTTGAAAGAATGGGTTTAA